CCAGCAGCACCTCCAACAGGGCCCGATCCAGCAGCACCTCCAACAGGGCCCGATCCAGCAGCACCTCCAACAGGGCCCGATCCAGCAGCACCTCCAACAGGGCCCGATCCAGCAGCACCTCCAACAGGGCCCGATCCAGCAGCACCTCCAACAGGCAGGGTTCCCACTCTTTTTTTGACTTGATTTTCCAGAATTTTTCCAGGACATTTTCAGCTGCTGCAGTACGGCTCAAGTTATTACAGCTAGGGCTGGATGATATTTTTTTCATATCAGGATGTATTTAGAAACAGATATGATACTGTACCTGCACCATTATATCGATTTTAGAGTTGTGCAAAGATTGTTGTCTTTCACTAAAGGGAGCCCAAGTCTCCTCCCGTTCCAGTCGGCTTACGGGTCCTCGGGCTAAAAGCTATTTTCTAATCCGCTTTGCCTTACGTCTTGGCTCACACATGTTGTACTGCAATTTAAATGAAAAGTAATGGTGGGTGTTTCGACCACGCCCGTCACGTACTTTGAGATTTATCAGGTTGTAAAAGTTCGTAATTAGCTTAACTACACACCAGAAATCGGCACGTCATATGTGACATCGCCACATAATCTAACTAACCCCAACCTCGATGACGTCAATTTCGTAAAGCACAAATAATATCCAAACAAGAATACACAAACACAGAGACTCAAAATCCCGGAGCAGTTTCCAGGCCAGACCGAGGCTCTACTGAGGCCTTTCCACGGAGCTAGCTCTGTGGTCACGTGGGTCTGATGCTCATTAATTATACAGAATTTTAGGCTTTTAATACACTTAAACAGAAGAGTGAGAAAAACATTCACCCCCCTCAGAGTTGTCATGAGTGTAAACTAGATCATTTAAACCAAAAACATGTTCTGGTACCAGGCTGTAAACATGTTTATTTCTGCTGTGAAATTGGTATTTTTAACATGGGAGGCAATGAGGATTTGCTCGCTTCTGACACCAGCCCCTAGTGGATGAGGGTGGAACTGCAATTTTTCTTACTTCCGGGTTGAGACCATTTTCTGAGCCGCATTGTGGGGGCTTGGTTCATACTAGGGCCCGACCGATATTATCGGCCGATATAGGGGTCATTAACACTATCGGCCAAAAGTTGCGCTACCTATCCAGCAGATGGCGCCAGCTTTATGAACTCATGTTGTGTGGCTCCACTCGGGGGGTGGAGCCACCGTCACAGCACACATGCAGCGGAGCAGCAGAAGCAATTCAGTCAAGCAGAGACGACGGTGATGAGGAAGTAGGAGGTAAGTCTTCAGTTTTAAGCATATTTGTTGTGTCAGTGGTAAGTTGAACGGTAAAATAAGCAATGACAAAAGTCTGTTTCCCCTCAACATGCTTCCTAAGTTTATTGTGTGCCTCGTGGCCTCGTACTGAAAAGTTAACCTGAAAAAATAAAATAAAGCTGCCACAGCATTACGCTCTACGCAGAGCTCACGCTGCTTCCCCTGTAGTCATGCAGGGCAGTAAGTAGGTAACATCGGCCTTTTTCTGGTAGACATTCTGGAATATTCTCAGACTATTTCCTCCGCCCTTCAGCAGTCTTTTCAAACTCACGCGGTTCACTCGCGGCTCGCGAAAAAAATAGTGCAGACGCCGAAACTAGCGCTGCACGGCGTGGGCTGGAGCGCAGACGTGCAGCGCTTCAGCGGCCCATGTGGCCTATAGAATAGGATAACCAGGGCGACGAATGGCGGTCCCCGTTTCGCGGCGCTTCGGCGGCACACGACCGTTGTCGCAGCTGAGGACGGGCGAGGGGGGGTTGGCAACAAACCTATGAAACGCTGTGCAGGGAGCCCCCCCCCCCCCCCCCTCTCCGTAGCTGGGAGAGGAGGGGGGGGCGGTCATATGTTCCTAATACTGTCGGCTTTGGAAAGGATCAAAACACAAAAGTGTAAAACTCAAAAGTATTTTAATGCCAAAAATCAGGTGACAGAAATAAAACCAGGTAGCTAGGACGCTGAAACCAGCAGAGTATGACTGAAACTGAAGCGTATGCACTGAGGAGTGAGAGATGACAGAGGACTAGTTATGAGGAGGAGCTGGGAGTGGGAGCAGAGGACAGCAGGGGAACATGGGAGGAACTATTAATGAAAATATGTTTAAAGAAGAAAGAATCCTAAAAGGGAAAGAAGAATAACTAGAAATAAAAACCTGACATCAAACGAGTAGAAAACTCAGTGGAAGGAATAAAAAGACTTGAATACTAAATGAGAAACCCTGAACAGCTGGGGAACCAAACAAAAACAGAGCCATTGGTTTTGAGCCACAATGTCTGATATCATTTATTTACATGATCATTTTTAAACTTTTAAGTATAAAAATGCCACATTTAATGTATTTGACTTTGTCTTGGCATCAACAGATATATAACTGTACTTTTATGCTGATTATTTTATTACAGATGGAAAAAGAGGGTCGTAGTAAGGTGTGGGCCTACTTCACTAAACATCCATCCGGTAATGTCATCTGCAGCATCTGCTCATCTTCTGTAGTAGTTTGTGTGTTCTGTTGTTTTTGAGATTGCTAAATAAATCTTATTTGCATTACTTGGAAACCCCCCAGTGAGTTATTGAGACCGTTCTTTGGTGTGTAATAGAGAAATAAGTTAGCATCAAAAAGGCAGAGAATGAAGGGTTTAATCTTAAGAACATTAGTATTTATTTATTTTTTATGAGGGAGATTTATCGGCCATTATATCGGCTATCGGCCTTGTTAAAAGTTTTCTATCGGTCGGGCCCTAGTTCATACACTGCTATTTTACATACTGATATCAGTGTAAAAGTCCAAACTCCCACAGTCAAGCTGCATCAGTCCCTAAGTTTAAAACTTATGACCAAACTTTCTAATGAATTGCATTTGCTCATATCCAGATGCACAGTTTACATAATTGAATAATGAGTTTTGGACTGAATTATTTTGACTGAACAAATCTTTAACTATTTATTGTTTGTCAGTTATATTGCTGAAACGGATAGAAATTTCCAGACCTGCGTAAAAGTCCCGCCTCCTTGTTTGATTGACAGCAAAGGAGAGCTTTCTCCACAAAGTTTATGCAAGACAACTCGAAACAGGATTCTGTCAATAATGCGGGACGTGAGTTTCAATCTAGGGGATGTAAGAGAAGTCATAAGAATGCAGGATTCTCCCGCTATGGTTACCATAGTGACGACACACACTACAGCTCTCCCTTTGCTCTTCTGTCAGAGAGAGAGGGAGAAAAACCTCTGACTCCATCTACTGCGCTACAGCAGCACTTTTAACCCTCTGGAGGCGGGCGTGGCAGATCAGCGATGTTAAAACCTGCCTACCTGCTTACTCCACACGTGTTTCATGAGCATTTAACTCAGAAGAACCCCTGGAGGACTCAGTTGTTCGACCTTTTATCAAAACTTATTTTGAGCCTGAGAGGGTTAAACTGAAAGTTGCTAGCTTGGCCCTTCTTGGATAAATAAACCTTTACTTGAGTATGAAACATTGGTAACTCTAGCAGCAAAGACAAATGGACGCACTGGGAAGCAGAACTGTTCTAATCTATTTGATTGGTTGGTAGTGTCACATGGGCACTGTGCCGGCTGGATGCAGAAATGAAAGCAGACAAGCGCTACAGCCCGATGCCCACTGCACGCAGCTGAAAACAGAAATTCATGCGTAAAATGTTTACCCGTTTGTATTTATTCACAAGGAGGGAAAATCTTTTTCCAGGACAACTCAAACATTTTCCTTTATTTCACATTTTCCACGTGTTTTCCATGACTGGAAAATTGGTCTACCATTTTCCAGGTTTTCCAGGACGTGTGGGAACCCTGAACAGAGCCCGATCCAGTTTTCCAGTGGAACCCGTTTCCTCCTGGCCTTTGACTTAAAAAGGCAGTTTATGACTTAGAATGTGGGGCCAAAGTTTCTCCAAACGAAACCCATCCACCACACGTGATGGAAAAGGACAGACCATATGACGCGTGGGAATGGGGTGAAATAAAACGTTGATCCTTTATTTTCTTACAGCTCCATCCAGAAGTTTTCAGAGTCCACTTGTTCCAACAGTCAAGAAATCCTTTAAGGTCCAACATAATTCAGCCTGCTTTAGCCCGTCTCCATCCAACACACCTGCGCCCATTGGCACCATGATTAGAGGTGGAGACAGTGACCTGTTCAGAACTTCAGAGGGTTTTCCTCCATCTAGTGTCAAACCCAATAACTACACCTTTAGTTAACATGGCTCTCACAACTACACATACTGCACGTACGCTTAATATATATGTTACTTCACATAAATGTTTTAGGCTACATCAAGATCCCGTCAATTCAGTCAAATCCAAGCGTTTTCCAGTGATTCGAGAATCTGTAGAAACCCAGAGTTGCTTTTCAAAATACATCTCTTGTTTTAAAACCCTCATGCTAAACCACTTACCCAAACCCACAGAACCATTCCCAAATGCACTGGTCCAGTCAACAGCTAGTTTTAAAGGAACTGTCAAAACTTTACACGTTTGATTCCCACAACCTCAGTGGTCCAAACTAACGTTAGAGGCGGAAGCTCTCACAATCAGCGCGACATGTTTATCTTAGTTAGCCGAGCAGGACCAGAGTCAACTTTCGATTCTTCCTTTTAGCAGCACATTTAAACCACTTCGTTAAATGATGGAGGAGGTTATTCTCCACCATCAGGCTGGGTTTTATTAAACCTGCCGGGAACTTTAGCAAGCCTGTCTCCATCTTAGCTGAACAAGCACCATTAGCCTAGCCTAGCCAGCTCTCTTTAGACACAACCGCGGAGAGCCGTCGCTAACAGAAGGGAGCCTCCTCCTCCTCTGCTGCTGCATGGCGGCGTTTATATAAAACCACTTGGGTGAAACACGCTAACCAGGCTGAGCAAGAGAACGAGGCCCGTCTTGCTGTTAGCTAAACATGCTCCCGTTACTGTCGCTATGCTATTGCCAAGGCTAGCCCTTTGGTCATCAGCCATTACCTCTCTGTCTTTCAGCCCCAGCAGCAACACTTCTTCCATCAGGGTGAGCCGCGTCTCTTTGGAGTCTCCGGTCTCGTCCCCATCCATCTCGTCTCCTCGCCGGGGTTCATCGTGGTCCTCCTCACCCAGCGTACGGTCTTTGTCGGCGGCGCTGCGCGATGCTTCGGTCCGCCTCTGCACCAGGCCCGAACTTCTCTGAGTCAGGGAAGTCATAGCTCAACCACGGCGAAACCGTCCAGCCACGGACTGCTCTGCCTAGACTTTAACGCAATAACGCGGCGGTCATGCGGGAGTCGGTGAGAGTGTTTTAAATCCAAAGCTGGAGCTGGAGCGCCCTCACCATCCGGAGAGCGACTCTCGGTTCGGGCAGGACCAGTGTTGCCAACTCCCCCTGATAGAAACTTCTTCTTCTTCTTCTTCGTGTTCATTGGCGGGTGGCATCCAACTTCTGGGTGCATTTCCGCCACCTACTGTGCTGGAGTGTGAGAGCGTAAAAACATCTAAATTCTATTGAACCAACCATGTGTGTTAGATACTCAGTAACCAACTTATATGTCCTTTCTTCACCGTTTAACAAATTCTTCACACTTACCACTCCACCTCCTGTGTTTTTAATGCCTCCCTGAGTTGTCCTCTACTTCCCTCATACTTTATACAGTTACATAAAACATGTTCCACCGTTCCCCCCCCCCCCCCCCATCCACACACACCTGTGGGATGTTTCCCCATCAGATGCATCATATTATTAAGCCCAGTATGTCCCAATCTTAATCTTGATATTATTCTTTCATCTCTACTATTCATTCTTATATTTTTCCATTTTCCTACTTTCCCTTGTATCTGAAATAAATGTCTTCCTTTCTCTTCCCTTTCCCACATTCTTTGCCACTCTTCCATCATATGTGCTTTGATGATAGATTTAATTTCAGCGGCACTATATGCAATATTTATTATTTCTCTCTCTTATTGCCTTTTTTGCAAAATAATCTGCCATTTCATTTCCTTCTACTCCTCTATGTGCCGGTACCCATGAAAATTTTACTTCTGTACCCAAATTCCTTAATCTAAATCTTGTCTCATATATCTCATATAATATATCTATTCGACTTTTGGTAGACATTAATTTAACTGTGTCATGATATGGTGTTGGAGGACCCAAATATGCAGTACCCAGGATGACACTAGGCAGGGATGAAGGTTAAGTAAAACCCTTTATTTAAAAGAAGAGCCAAAAACAAAGTAAATCCAAGGCTGTGAGCCAAAATCCAAAAACTCTGGTTCATACACAGAGAAACACGACTGACAGAACCACAAACAATGGACCGACAAGAACAACGAGACAAGGAGAGGCTTTATACACTGGGGCTGGAGCGATAGGAGACGAGGAGCAGGTGTGTGGGGAACAGCCACAGGTGCAAGCACTAATGAGGAGAGGAGGACACACACACACACACACACACACACACGCACGCACGCACGCACGCACGCACACACACACACGCACGCACGCACGCACACACACACACACACACACAGAGCTGGGGACTAAAAGGCTGGAGCTACAAGAGAAGACACATAAATGAGATGCAGACAAAGGACACATGAGGGCGCTCATGAGACCCAAAATGGGAACCTAGAGGAGGGAGAACACATGAGGGAAGACACATGACAAGCTGACACTAATACAGATAACGAGTCAGTACATATAATTCCTTTTTACTTCTATTTTGTTCCATCCATTGAAGACTAAATAATATAGCTATCATCTCCACTGTGTACACAGATAAATGATCTGGAGTTCTTTCCCTAACTACTACTCCTAAGAGAGAATTATAAGATACCTTTCGTCAAACTTTTTGACAGGTCTATTGTTCTTTGACCTTTCTGACCTTTCAGTCCTATTGTTCATTTGACCCTTGACCTTGCCCCCCTTTCCTATCATTAATCAAATGGACAGGTGTATTGTTCAATCTTTGCCCCCCCTTCCGTATCATTAATCAAATGGACATGTGTATTGTTAATTGTCCAGATGGCCTAGACCCCCCACGCCGCATCATCAATGGCGTATTGTTGAACGTGTCCAGATGTCCATGATTCCCCACGTCATAGGCTAATGTGTGTAATGGCGTGTGAAGTTTCTTATTGTGTTACCCATCGGTTCCCACAGCCCCCCTCCCTTCTGAGTGTAATCCTATTGTGTATAACTCTTTAAAAGCTCAGATCTGTCCGAATGGTGAAAAGCCGAGCTCTAAGAAAAAATGATGAACCACGAGGAGATGCATGAAGCACCAAGCCACGAGGAAGAGGTGCCTACTACATCCGACGCTTCAACTTCAACTCAAAAAGTGAAAGAAGAGAGCGTGGATACGCCGCTGTCAAAAACCATGCTTTGTGAAAAATCCATCGCTATACATCAGATGCCGGCTGGAATTGGTGCCCCCCGCAAATCTACATTTTACATCTGCAGAGTGCAGGTTCCTCCTTTCGGCGGTAAAGAGATCTTGGAGCAAATATGGCAGTTGGAACCTTACGGCTATACCGGTAGTTTTGGGTACCGGTTCAGCTACGACACTAAGGAACTGTGTTTAATCCAAGATGTGGCTGAGGGGGAACCTCTTAAATCCTATTTATCAAACTCACCAGCGGTTCTCTCCTACAACGATTGGGCTGTGCTCAGGCTGGCTGTTCCACGCAAGGTGCACAGAGATGATCCTGAGAGACCTCGTCCGCCTGTCAATCGCAGCGGGCCGCAAGCTCTTCCAACGTTGGATGAAATCCAGAACGCTGTGACAGCATTCAGCGCTTCATGGGAGGGGGAAGAGGATGCTGATGGAGAGTGGATGTTCAAGGCCTCGGTCCGTGTGAGAGGATTTGAGCTCTTTTTTGTGCTGGAGAATGTGCATTCTGTATGCGGAATTTACCGCCTTCTACAGGTTGTACCTTTCGAAGCCTGGTGTGAAAAAATAAATGAAGTGGAGGATCGTATTACTTCATTTTTTCGTACCAGCCGCTGTTGGAACGACATTCTGACAGTGCGAAAAAAGCTGGAGTTCTAAGACCTGCCTTAGGAGGAGGAGGAGGAGGTTGCATCATCATACCACGCCCCCCACCCAGCACTAGTTATAAAGAGCTTACAGTTAGAAACCATTTCATCCAGACGATCTAAGGCATCAGCATGACGGGGTTCTACAATCAGACGACCCTTAAAGACCTTTGGAGCCCACCACCGAGCTGGGTACTAACGGATTCATCACCACCGAGATACAACACCAGTCCGAGGTCCAGATCGCTACCATCACTACCACAGCCGAGATACAACGGCAGTCCGAGGCCCGCATCGGCACCATCGTGTTTTCCAGAGGATAACCTACCACGACTCCCCACCATCATGGAGGTTCCGGAGAACGTACCATTCAGGCCCTGGGTCGATGGGGCTGATCCACCTTTGGTGACATCAAACCCAGAGCCGCCGCCAGGTCATGAGGAGGAGGAGGAGGATGTGCAACCCCTCGACATCCAGAGCACCGATGAGGAGCCTCACCGTCTGCCTGACTGGGTGTTTTCAGAAGACAAAGTAGACCGTGTGAAAATGGGTCTTCTTCACTTGGTCAACATGGCGATCAAAGCTCACTTACCAACCATCTGCCACGGATGCAAGATCGATCATCCCAGTCAACGGCAACACGAATGTCTTTACGTAGCTGAAAATGAATTATTTTACGATTTTCACTTTACGGACATTATTCGCAGGGTTTTAACACCTAAACTGATTCCGGCTCTTCAAAGTTTTCTCAGTCTGCACGGCTTCCAGCCTCTGGACACTGAGATTCTGTTCACCATGGCTGTGACGCAGCTGCACGGATTCAGGGCTGTGATGCCCATTCACAAAGACATTTTTCCGGTGTACGATCGCCTGTCCAAAGCTGACCTGGACGCGCTGTCCGGGGTGGTGATGGAGTGAGCGAGCTGCGGAGGGTCTCTTCTACAACTTTATTATTATATTTGACGACAGTATGATTAGATTTTAGTTCTGACTAGTGTTTAGATTAGACTGTGTGATTTTATTCATTATATTTGATGACTGCTGTTTTTACAGTATGTTTAGACTGTGTGATTATATTTGATGACTGCTGTTTTTTACAGTATGATTAGATTTTATTTCTGACGGTAGCGTCATTAGATTTTAGTTCTGATTAGATTGTGTGTACAATTTATGAAATAAAAAGAACTAATGAAAACAATTATGCATCATTTTTGCCAACCATTCATCAGAGATGGAGGAGGTAATGAAAAAGGTTTATTTTACACCAGAACATCAGGGTAGTTACGGTGGTGTGGAAAGGTTTAGAACCGGTTTACAACAAGATATTGGGGAGAAAGTTTCATCAGATAAGGCTCGCGATTTTCTCTCAGAACAAGACGCCTATACACTTCACAAACCTGCAAGAGTTCATTTTCCGAGAAATAAGGTTTTTGTCTCAGGGCCGCTAAAACAGTTTCAAGCTGACTTATGCGACATGCAGGCCTTGTCAAAATCAAACGACGGCTTTAATTACCTATTAACCGTCATAGATGTATTTTCAAAGAAAGCCTATGTACGAGCCCTGAAAAACAAATCGGGGAAAGATGTTACAGAAGCTTTTGCTTCAGTTTTGAAAGACAGCGGTGTCCCTAAAAAATTGCAAACGGATTCCGGTAAAGAATTTTTTAATAAGAAATTTGAAGCCCTCATGAAGAAACACGAAATTGTGCATTTTGCCACAGCCAGCAGCGTAAAGGCCAGCGTTGTGGAGAGATTTAACAGGACTCTAAAAGGTAGAATGTGGAGATATTTCACAGCCAAAAACACCCATCGCTACATAGATGTGATTCAAGATTTGGTGAAAGGTTATAATCATAGCTACCACACTTCTATCAAAATGGCCCCCTTTGAAGTTAACACGGAAAATCAATGGCAAGTGTTTCGCAACCTTTACGGGACCACCGCACCGAAGCCTGCAAAGAAAATGAAGTTTAACAGGGGTGACGTTGTGAGAATTTCCAAACTCAGAGGTGTTTTTGATAAAAAATATGAGCAGAGTTTCACGCACGAGCTGTTCACAGTGGACCAGTGTCTTCATCGAGCACCGCCGGTTTATAAACTCAAAGATTTTGATGGGGAAAAAATTGAAGGGTCATTTTATGAACCCGAATTGCAGAAAGTAAACTTATCGACCGAACGATCCTTCCACGTTGAAAAAATTTTAAAGCGCAGAACTTACAGAGGCCAGAAGCAAGTTTTTGTTAAATGGCTTGGCTGGCCTCAAAAATTTTCCAGTTGGATTAAAGCCTCAGACCTGCACGACGTTTAAAAAAACAGATACAATAAAAAAATGGATCTGAGACAAGAGGAGGGTTTTTATATCACATTGCCCTCTAACGCCAGTAACGAAGTGTTTAAAAATAACACGATTGCCAGTTACAGAACCGATCTAGCCCGTCACATCAATCTCAATGGCAGGTGGCAAGTGGGACTGTCTGAAATCACTTACGTGCACTCGTGGTTTAATTTACCGAACGATCGTGCGTTTGTTGAATGGCGACGAGTGAAAGAACCTAAGAAAATCAACAGAGCTCCGATTACTCCCGGATATTATAAAGCTATCCAAACACTTAGAATGGAATGTGAGACTGCTATGAGAAAGATTGATCCTGATTTCTATCTCATTCACAGATTCCCCGACCCCATTCTCAAATATCAGATCGGTGATGAAATAGAATTTAGATTTTTAGCGCCTCTGGCCTATCTGTTAGGTTTCAACGCGGGTGAGTGGTTGACGCCTGAAGGTACTTCAGGCCTCGATGAACCGATCAAATCGGCGCCTCACCCACCCGATTTAACAGGCGGTCTATATCAGTTTTACTGCTACACAGATGTCGTGACCGAGCAGTTGGTCGGGGACGTCTTTGCGCCTTTATTACGTACGGTGAAAGTTGAAGGGACCTTCGGTCACACGGTCACTCATGTGTTTAATCCTGTGGATTACATCAGCGTTTCTACGAATCATATAGAAAGCATTCATATCGAAATAAAATCTGATCAGAATGAGCCGATTCACTTCTTATACGGAAAAACAACGGTGAGGCTTCATTTCAGGCCCGCACATCAGAGAAATACAATAATATAATGCTCGTGAAACAGGGTGAGAGAGTCAGTTACGCTCGTACGTCTTGCAGACATGATTTATCACCTGCAGAGAAACGATCCCAACCGTTTTATCAATTATTACGTCACTCAGGCCGGTCATGGTTTACCAGGTTTTAGCGGTGTTCCTTATATGTACGGACGTGGCTTTGGATCGATATTTTCAAGACTGTTTCGATTCATATCACCTTTTGTTAAAAAAGGATTTGCTCTGGCTAAACCGCATCTCAAAAAGGCCGCTACAGGAATCGTGTCAGATGTGTTGACGAGAGCCGTCGGTAAAATCAATGACCCTAATGCCCAAGAGGGGTCAGGCCTCATGGTTCTGTCGAGGCGTGTTCGCAAAAGACCCCCCGGCAGGCGTTTAAAGACATCTACATCACGAAGCGACCGACGCATCAAAGCTCCAGTTACAAAACGCAAGCAAAAGAGGAAGAAGTCTCGTCAGACAGGCTCTGATATTTTTTAATCATGTCACTGCTCCACAACAAATCGTCAGAATGTACGCTGAGTGAACTGGATCTCTTCACCGTACCCATGACGCAGTTGTCTATCGAAGATAAGATCTACAGCGAAATTTTACCCATAGCGGCCCTGACGGACGGCGGGCCTGTAGAATTTTTTGTCCCCGGAGATGGAGAAAAATATTTGGATTTAAACGACACTCTTCTATTTTTGCGGGTGAAAATTACAAACGATGACGGCAGCCCGCTAGATGATGGTGCTGCCACCGGTCTGATTAATTACCCGATAAACACGATTTTCTCACAATGTGACGTGGTTCTCGGCGATCGTCTGATTTCACAATCCAGCGCCACGCACCCCTACAGAGCGATCATCGAAACCCTGCTGAACTTTTCTGAAGCGAGTTTGAATTCTCAATTCAGCGCGGGATTGTTCTTCAAAGACACCGCAGGCGCGCACGATTCCACCGTTGTAATTAACGGACGCAATTTAGGCCTTAATCAACGAGCGACTTTTACAGAAAACTCCAGAGAAGTGGATCTGATAGGACCCCTGCATTCTGATATATTTTTCTGTGAAAGACTTCTTTTAAATTCTGTCGATCTCAGAATTAAACTGACACGCGCGTGTGATGCTTTTTGCCTGATGGGGGCGCGTGATTCCACCTACAAGCTGAAACTGCTGGGTGCATCGCTTTTTGTGAAGAAAGTTAATATTTCACCCGCCGTACATTTGGGTCACGAGTCTGCTTTACTAAAAGCAAACGCCATGTACCCGCTCTCACGCGTGACCGTCAAAACTTATTCCATTCCACAAAATTCGAGGATATGTAATCTGGAGAACCTCTTTCTCGGCGCCATTCCTAAATATATCGTCTTAGGATTAGTGGATCACGAAGCTTACACAGGACGTCGAGATCTTTCGCCTTTTAATTTTCGCCACATGAATGTGGAATATCTGGCGTTGTCCAGAGACGGAAAACAGATTCCATCGAAAGCCTTCCAACCTACTTTTTACCAGGGAACATCGGTCAGAGAATTTTATAATCTGTTTACAGCCACTTCAAGACAATTGAAAGATTTGCCTCTATCGATTAATAGGTTGGAATATCAACAGGGGTATACACTCTTTGCCTTTAATCTGAACACAGCGGATGACTCGGAGGCGCTTTCAACCGTTTCCACCGGCAACCTGAGGATGGAGATGCGCTTTGGAGAACCTCTGAGAGCCACGGCTACACTCATTGTGTATGCGTGTTACGACTCCATTCTGGAGATAAACTCAAAGAGAGAGGTATTGGTGGATTATTATTAATGGATAATCACGAATTGGACGGCATATTATCGAACCTGCTGGGAGATTATTTTGGTGGCGTGTACGCGTCTGATCAGCTGTCTACCGTCCCAAAAAACATTCGACTACCGGCCTACTTTGTGGTAAACACTCATCCTGACCATTTACCCGGTGAACACTGGTTGGCGCTAGCTGTGGAACAAAATGGCCTCGGAACATTTTTTGACTCTTACGGTCTATCGCCTGAATTTAAATATTACCCTGAAAACATCCTGAATTTTCTAACAGAACGTTGTTCAAGAATACAATATCAGGATCGTCAGCTACAGAGTTTTGCATCCGACCGTTGTGGCCAGCATTGTGTTTTTTTCCTGTGTCATTAGGCTTGTGGACTTTCTCTGAAACAAATTCTGTCTAAATATCATAAAAATGTAGATAAAAATGATGCTATGGTTTATCATTTTGTTAAAAATTTTTCAAATTGCATCAAACGTCATGATGTATACTTCACACAGGTGAATTGTACTCTTGAAATGTTTAAAGAATGTCACGGACTGTGAAATTTGTTTTGAATAAAGTTTTATTGAACAAACAAGAGAGTTAAGGTGTAAAGCTGATCCATTTCTTCATAGTGGGGACATCGCTCCAGCTTGGTGATAAAATGATATTTCTCCTCGGTTTTTTCTTTTTTTTCTTCAAAACACTGTCTTCAGAATCCGGAAGCACAATCCCTCCGTTCCTGAGTTGCGTAATCTGACGTTTCGCTAGCGGATTGGACACGATAGATAAGGGCACATTTTTTTCTACTAGAGTTTTTAGGAAAGGAGTCCAACCCGTCGGTTCTGATTGCGGATGTTTTTTTAACGGGTTGCTGATGCTTTTAATCAAGTCAAGGATGTGCGATCCTTTCTGCACATCGCCTTTATATTTAAATTCCCCCGTCGGAGTCCAGTTTAATCGTGTCATTTTCAGCAGGTACTCGGCGTTTTTTCTTCCGCGTACAGGAAGATTCTGTAGCGTTTCATTAATGAGTGTGTCAGCCGCTGTTTCTACAGCTGACGTAGGCTCAGCCGTCACAGTGGGCGGTTCAGTGGGAGGTGCGCTTTCGTGTAATCCGCTTCTCATCAACTTTAAATAACGCTGAAGCAGCGCATTGTATTTTTTAATTTTCTCATACGGCGTTAATCCCGTCTCCTGCATAATTAATTTCATTTCAGAGTCAAGATTCTCTTCAGCCACGTCCCGTATCGTAGGATTAACAAGCTGACGTAATTGTTGGGGGGTCACCATAAACATTTTTTGAGAAGCCATCGTTTATTTCCTTATTAAGCCACCTATCAGTTCGCCGATCAGAGGCGCAGCGGCTGCTAAGAGTATGGGTAGAAATCCGCCTTTCTGGCCGACTAAAAGCTTCTTTTTTTTAAAAAGGCTAGTTTTGTTATGAGTCAACTGTCTGAGCACCGTTCTGCTTTTAGACAACTTTTGAAATTGACGCGGCGACAGACGTATATTTCCTTTGATCACGTTTAAAGCTATCTCGCACAAAGCCTTCAGAACGTCCTCGGAGCACCCTTTTAAAAACTCCCGACGTTGGCGAGGCTTCATACGTGACAAAGCACGTAGAATCTTGGCGTTGCGTTTTATCCGGGCTGACATGGCTCTGTTTTAGACAAATACACCGCAGTGAGCTGATCCGGAAGTAAACCCGTACGGAGACGGAAAGATTCTGGCGTTTCCGCTTTTAAATCCACAATTAAATAACCGTACGGTTCTGACGTAGCGTCTTGAAAACTCTCCATGAAATATCTTTTTTGGGTAGGATATATTTGATTTGCTAAAACATTGATTTGCAATTTGTCTCGAGGGTTTTTAAACAAAATCAAATAATTGGTGTTTAAGCTGATGGAACGACTATGTTTTCCTTGATGAAAAACATTTTGAGTGATTAAAATGACGCTCATATTTCTGTGATGTCTCAGCTGCGTAAATAATTTTAGCACTCCAGGATGGCTGGACGTTTGAGACATCATGTCATCCAAGATCACCAAGTGATTATGACCCGATGGAAATAAATCATCATCCTCGAATGAAAGCGGGAGACCTTGAACGAATCGAATACTTTTATTACAAAGATCATCATACATAGGTTGATAAGATGTAAAAAACCACACGATGTTTTCAGGCATTTCAGTTAAACATTGCATACAATTTTCCAAAAGACTTTTTACAAAAAAGGTTTTTCCACAGCCTGACGGACCAGCAATTTGTACACTGAATGGAAATTTTAGTCTAGCGTCAAAATCAGTTTCCATTTTTAATACCCAAATGGTTCTGTACTGCCGTCAGCAAATAACCTCCGCTTATCAAAAATCACACGAAACCTTTTCACAAATGAAACATTTGAGAGAGTGAGACCTTTTTTATCCCTCTTGACGATCTCCTGCCGAGTTTGCAAAAATCTTCCCCTTTCTCCAGACACGTACCCCTCAACCAGCAGCGCTAAGCTGTCAAAATTGATGTGATCAGATGAAATGAATGACTGTGTGATACCCTTAGCCTTTAGCACCACCTGCTGGCGGTCCCGGGTTTTGTAAGCATACGTTTTTGGACCGGCTGATGCAAATTCCGTGATGGAATCGCCGTGCAGTTCATCGGTTAAATCCCCCAGCAGCGGTCCTGTTGGTAAAACACACTCATTCTCTTTGACAGAATAAATTATAGAATCTGTATCGTAATAAATGACGCGATTTCCCAGTTTGTTCAACGCATTTAATAATTTCAATCTGGCATAAGTTGTGGTGAATGCAGCGATAAAAATGTTGTTGCTTCTGCCAGGAGTCGTTAGGCATTTTTCTGCCAAACTGTGTTGCACCAGAACGGCTCCTGAAGTGAGAAAACTGAAGAATTTAACATTGTATCTCCCTGAAAACAGAATGTCAAAAAATTCATCAGGTTTTTGAACAAATGTGGTTTGTACAAGATCATCTCTTTGACCAAACTTTCCCCAGAGTGAATTGAGACATAATTTTGAAATGGCACGCTTAGCAGGATTGTGCTGAATCTTAGACGCATCTAATAGTATTCCCTGACGAAGTTGGTAGTCCTGAATGTATTTTCTTTTCGACTCATCGTCAATCAATCCTTCAGGAAAACCAGACGCTTGTTGTTTCTGCTTCAAAAACGTGTTAATGTAACCTGCGAACACATCTTTACTGCTTTTCTCAAAATCCCAGACTTCAATCATTTTCACCAGACTGTAACCTGAATCCAAAGCGTAATTGAACTCTACACTCACCCAAACGCCCGTCAAAGCACGTTGAGACGCGCTGTGTGAACAAGAATCAGATTGATTATTCATTTCAGCGCATGTGCGACACAGTGTAAAAACGAGTTTACCTTTGGATGTTTTAAAAGGCAGAACAGGGAAAAACAGTTTTCTGGGTGGCAAAACGACAGCTTTAATCAAACCAAAATAGTGACTCGGATCTCTGAAATTTTTAACATGAATTTTGGGATGGCCTATGGGGTAAGTCTGTGTGGCGTTTACATAAGGGTACAGGCTCGTAAAATCCACATAGTGGATTTTTTCACCGCTCTGAGCAGAATGCCTCAGCCGAACCGGACAAGTTCTGCCTCCATACAGGGCTTCACGAGGTAAAAGAGGAGCCGGCGGTGGATCAAATCTTGAGACAAACTGTTTCACGTCCGGATCAGTTTTTACCATCTCCTGCCAATCATGTTCCCAAATGACATTCATTTTTAATCGATGCACAGTTTCCAACGACTGAAGCTTTTCGACGGTTTTGTCATAAATTTCACCAAAAGTGATTTTTCTCAGAGGACATATGGATGACTGTAAGAAACATTTTGGACAGCCGTGGAAAAAACAACCCATATACTCAAACCCTTGCTCGACGCCTGAAATCACAGCATATCCGTCGAGATAAAAATCTCCCACTTTATACTCCCCCAAAGGCGTTAAAGCGTGTTGAATGTCTACATTTTGACTGCGTGAAACCCATTCCAACCACACGATGCTTGAACTTGAAAATGGTTTTTGTTGCGGTCGATAGCCGAGCGGACAAGGAATGGCCAATGTGTCTGGTTTTAGGAATTTTGATCTAAACACACGCATGCAAGCTGAAGCGATCGTGACAGATTTCAGCGGGTCGATACCTGTTTCATTAAAAAACTCCTCTCTGAAAATACCGCATGCTTTACGCAGAATTTCCACATCGTTTCTACAATAAAACACGGCCTCCTTTCTGAAATCAAACAGCTGCTGTTTAGACACATCGGTGTACCATTCTAAAAATATTTTTTTATGCTCCGGAGACATTTGTTCAAACCCATAATGGCTGACATCTGGGTAAGGTCCTTTATAATTCAGATGTTCAAGTGATGAAAATCTGTGAGGAAAATAACCTTTAGTTTTATCTGTAAAGCCCAAAGCAGCTGGAAGGTTGGCTAATTTCATCATGAGGAAACTTAAGGAATCAATGAATCTCAGCCCAAAGTCTGGATCGTGAAAACTCAGTATTTTACAGCCTTGCATGAGTATATTTTTGGGAACAATTTTTAATTGACACATAGCGCTCAAAATTATATAAGCATCAAATCCACGCGCATTGTGTGCAACAAATGTATAATTGCTGAATTTAGGACGACGCATCTGCATAATAAAATCTTTAATGCAATCTAAACCAAATTTCTCCCAAACGTCGCCTGAATCGGATTTTGCACAGATTAAAAAAGGTGTATGCACACCATTCTGATCCGTAAACGTTTCAGTGTCGTAATAAATAACCTTTTCCGTTAAACCGTCATCTTTTTTTTCAAGCTGAATAAAACAGCGATGATCATCCGTGACCACCGACTGTTTGCAAACGATGCATTTGGTCGCTGAGCAAACGTGCTGTGAACCATTTCCACCCATGGCGATGTAATAAGTTTGTTTACAAATGGTGCATTTTTTAAACATTTCGCAAGGAGAAACTAACCTGTTTGCTTGAGGCCTTAAAACAGGTGTTTTGTGAGTTTGAAAACATATTACATTTTGGCATATTCGATTACAATCAGAACATGTGATGAGAGACGTTTCTGTTCGTTTGCATAAATCGGTATTACATACGCGACAGAACCATTTACAATGATGTCCGTTCACGTTATTATAAGGAGAAAAGCACCATGAACAAAAATATTTGGCTCCTAAGAAACCTTTAATATTTTTTATGCCGTAATAATGTTGATTCAGTAGCAAAATGAACAACGGATTTGACCGATCGCTAAAATCTGTTTCAAATTTAGAAATGATTCTGTCGGATCTGTAAAAAATGATTATTTTTCTTTGAACAATGTTTTCAAATTGAATCACGTCGCTAAATGAAACGGTTGATTGCTCCTGAAGCCCTGCCTGTTGATGAATATTTTTAGCCACATTCAATAATTCTGTATCTCTCGCTGAGGGATTTAACAGTCCGGCTATGCTTAGCGCAAAACACAACGGCTGATTGGCCTCTGGAGGGCAAATGAGATGGTTTCGTTTTTTATTGACTAATTCGTGATCCAGAATGGTTTCGATTTTTCGTTTTCCACCGCCGGACGGATTATTTATCACTTGCAGTCTGAAATTAAATTCGTTGTCGGCCTCTAATGCTTCATTTGATTGGACTAACAGATCCAGTAAATACTGAAGCTGATTTAACATATTTGATCCGTCATAATTAAAATTAACGTGGTGCGTCGTGTGCAAAGTATTAATTTCAAACTGGACTCTATCGTTGGGACGCGCGATCTGGCTTCCTCTTTCAGCAAACCTGTTTAATATTTCCATCAGATTAATATAAAACTCGGCTGGGTCGTTGATTGCTTGAAAAGACACTCTCTCTCTAATTTCACGCTGGTTAAAAGCTGCGTTTACGCTCCCTCCGATCTGTCGGTGTTCTATTTGTCTCAAAATTTCATCTACAGCTTGTGGAGATGGGTCATCTGAATTTGCTAGTATTTGATCGATCTCGTTTACGCGCTGCTGGTGTTCTATTTGTCTCAAAATTTCGTTTATTGCTTCTGATGAAGGCTCATCTGAATTTGCTAGTATTTGATCGACCTCGTTTGAAACGGCTTGGGATGCTAAAATATCGTCTAAGATCTCACTATCTGAAGCTAATTCATCTACTTCACTCAGCCCGCTTACATCAAACCAGTCAGTTAACACCAAATTATCGGCCTCCTCCACTGAGGGATTTTGGCTGGCTAAAATTCTATCTAACATTTCATCATCAACTACGTTTAATTCATCATCAACTACGTTTAATTCATCATCTACTTCAAACAAATCTGAAAGGTCATCAAACCAATTTTCACTCATGATACAAAAGACATTAAAAACCTACTAAAAATGAAGAAAAAAATCTGCGTCGTCCTTTTACAGAGCCAGAACTTGTTGCATCACATCCACCAGGCCGGAATTGACTTGCAGGAGCAGGTAGCCAAGCTTCATCCTGTTTAATCTCTGCAATGGCGTAAATCTGCCCCGCTTCTTCTTCTTCAACCGTTTTTCTGATGAAAAAATAAATAAAAATAAATAAAATGAACGAGCTTTTAATAAATTATATATAGATTTAACTTACTCTGTACAGGTGCAGGAGGTGGGGCGTTCTCTTCGTCCGTCGTGGGTTGTTCTGAAAGGATAAAAAACATCATCTTTTTTACTTCAAAAATGTAATATCCTCTGCAGAGCGGTTTTGTGAAACAGCTTACCGGCTGGCTGCTCAGGACCACGTTCAGCGGTTTCAGAGTCGCTGTCGGATTGTTCTGAAAGAATAAAAATAAGGAAAAATATGAACGAATCATCTTTGAAGTAAATAACCTCCTTTTTATAAATCTCTTACCCTGTGCTGGAGAAGGGGGAGGAGGAGGAGGAGGTGTGGGCGGAGATATTGAAGCGGCTGTCGGATGTTGTTCTGAAAGGATAAAAAACAACGGTAAATGTGAACGAGTCATCTTTGACTTATTAATCAGTTGTTTTTTTTATCGTTACCATCCGTCTGCGCATGAGAAGGGGTTGGAGGTGGTGGGGGCTGAGATATTGGGGGTGCGTAGGCCGTCGGCCGTTGCTCTGGAGAATAAAAACGATAAATATGAACGACACATCTCTGACTTATTAATCGCTATTTTGTAATCACTTACCAGCTTCGAGGATCGTCTGTGGCGTGATGTTCCTGTAACGAACAGCTTTCACGTTCGCATTCGCGTGTGATCTGACGGTATGGCTGGGCTGATACGGATGTAAGACGGTTCGGCTGGTGGATGGAGGCGTGGTTGGGTAAAAGTTATCACTTCCGGGGTAAGGTTGAACCCCCTCCTTTTCTATAAAATGAGATATTTCTCAGCTGAAGAAAAGAACGTTACGTATATATTTATAAAATCCACTCACTCAGATTCTCGACCGCACGATTAATTTTAGACAAATCATCGAGAGGGATCGGTGTTTTACAAGTTAATTCCTCAATAGGAATTTCTTCCCACTCGCCGTCCGATATGACAATAGCGTCTGAAAATAAAGATGTTAAACCAGAAAGAGAAAAAAAGATTTGCGTCTTAAGTTAAAAACTTACCCGTCATCTTAGCTCGTTACACCTCAAATCACGACTCCGAAAATGCGGTTTTACATTTTATACAGCTGTTTAAAAAAATCTTGAATAGAAAACGGTTGCGATTGGTCGAAAAAAAATGTTTATAAACAATACATAGTCATTTGCTTTGTTGTATAGGTAGACAAATGTCTGAATGGGTGTTTAGAGTTGTGTGTGTGTGTGTGTGTGTGTGTGTGTGTGTGTGTGTGTGTGTGTGCGTGTGTGTGTGTGCAGATCCAAGAAAATAATACCGGACCGGTTTTGTACCGGACATTTCTTCCTGAAATCGCTTATGAAAAATCTGTTGCGTTGTCAAGCCAATCTCATCATGTCTCAATTCGAACGTTGTTTTTAGCAGAGGAAGGCTATATTCAAAACACGTATCCATCGGTTCTTCTTCTTCGCTCGTGTGTAAATCCGTTTACGACATGCATGTGCCTTAGTTTAACTATTCTGAGAGGTATGACATTAAAGGTTTGACCAGAGGTACGTCTGCTCTGAGACTTTACTAATCCACCCCTCCCAAAAAACAAACCTCATAAACAGCTTTTTATTTATTTCAGCTGTTATAGGTCCTACAAAAAGGATCAAATCTTTTCTTTGAGGCAGGAAGCAATGTGTGTGTGTGTGTGTGTGTGTGTGTGTGTGTGTGTGTGTGTGTGTGTGTGTGTGTGTGTGTGTGTGTGTGTGTGTGTGTGTGTGAGACAGTGAAAACAAAATGTGACACTAAAGGCAGGAGGCGATGGTTAAGCTTTCACTGCTGATGATGACGAACCAAAGATGCTGTTCACCTAAATAGCTCTTTGAAACAATAGCAAGTCATTTGCTTTTGTGAATTGTTTCCATGCCGACTAGGTTAGAATGAACCAAATCTTTGTTTTAAAACTTCCCCGCCACCTGCAAAAAAGAGAAGTCATTTGCTTTGTCAGAAGTCGCTGGCCGTGTAAAATTGTTTAGAATGAACTTTAAGAAAGCTCAACAGATCTTTGTTGAACCAACTTCCCGCCACTCTTTCAATTCAGCCCACCTGCAAAACAATACAGAGTTATTTGCTTTGTGAGTTGTCGACTAAAAGCGTCACACTGAGGTAAGGATCAACTTTTATTCTTATAGGCTTGAGTATGCAGGGTGGTTTACAACAGAACCATAAATGGTTTAGGATGGCAAACCATTGCTTTTCTGAAGTGAGAGAAATGTATGAATGGTGTTTAGAGTTGGTAACAGAGAGAGTCAGACATTTTCTGAAAGGGGAAAGTGCTTTAAATGTGTGTGTGTGTGTGTGTGTGTGTGTGTGTGTGTGTGTGTGTGTGTGTGTGTGTGTGTGTGTGTGTGTGTGTGTGTGTGTGTGTGTGTGTGTGTGTGTGTTTACAGCCTCTGATGATTCATCCATTATTTGAGGTGCTGCTAGACAGAAAGTTTTACACAATAGTTTTAGTTCTGGTCAAAAAGTGTCAGTGAGCTGCATGTAAATAACACATTTAAACACAAAGTTTAAGACTGAACATACGAAATCCAACGTGAACATATGCCAGATGGCTGAGTAAATCAAAGAGAGTATTAATGACATAGACAATGTGTCACTCTGAAGAGTTTGTGTGTGTTCAGCAAAAGGCTGCAAAAGTTCTTGCATTGACTTCAGCTTATGCCACCCACTCGAGAGCAAGCAGACCATCCCATCTTGTTTGCTACTTCACAAACAGATTCTTTAACTTTGAGGAGACGTACAACCATTTCATAAGTACTTGACCAGCGTGTGGGGCTGTCATTCACAGCAGTTAGGCCGCACTCATCCACTGTCAGTGAGCCATGTCTGTAGGCACCTCTTCCTCGTGGCTTGGTGCTTCATGCATCTCCTCGTGGTTCATCATTTTTTCTTAGAGCTCGGCTTTTCACCATTCGGACAGATCTGAGCTTTTAAAGAGTTATACACAATAGGATTACACTCAGAAGGGAGGGGGGCTGTGGGAACCGATGGGTAACACAATAAGAAACTTCACACGCCATTACACACATTAGCCTATGACGTGGGGAATCATGGACATCTGGACACGTTCAACAATACGCCATTGATGATGCGGCGTGGGGGGTCTAGGCCATCTGGACAATTAACAATACACATGTCCATTTGATTAATGATACGGAAGGGGGGGCAAAGATTGAACAATACACCTGTCCATTTGATTAATGATAGGAAAGGGGGGCAAGGTCAAGGGTCAAATGAACAATAGGACTGAAAGGTCAGAAAGGTCAAAGAACAATAGACCTGTCAAAAAGTTTGACGAAAGGTATCTTATAATTCTCTCTCTCCTATGTGTGGTATCACGAATGCAAAACCGGTTTTTCCCCCTTCCAGGTCCTTTGATCCATCTGTAAATACATGCACAAAAGACTCATAGCTTTTTAACCTATCTTCTGTAATTTTATCCCAATTTCCTTTTCCCCCACTGCTCCTAATTTTATCATAAATACTATAATCAACACACACTTCCAGAAATATCCATTTTGGATTAACTGTATATAAAAACTTTTTAATTTGTACTTTATCTTGGACCTTGCTCTCTTTTGCCCAATCTTGTACTTTCCAACTACCATATTCCTTCTTTATTTTCTCCGCTTCCCAACACGGACTCAGTGCCCTTTTTGCCATGTGGTCGTTGTCCTCACACCCTAACCACTGTGTTAGTCTATCCACCACCATCCTTTCCATTATTTTTCCTATATGAGATGTTAATGCAACGGGTCTATAACTAGCTGGACTACTTGATTCCTTTCCTACTCTAATTATTGGTAAAATAACTGCTTCTTTCCAATTTTTTGGTAATGTTCCTGTTTCCCATATCATATTATAAATCTCCAATAATTTTAATTTCATTTGTTTCCCTAATTGTTTTAACATTATATAGCAAATTTGATCTTTTCCTGGACTTGTCATACCTGTTGTAGCTGATGCACGTTCCAACTCAAACAAAGAAAAAGGCATATCCATAGTACTTTTAATATTATCTTCCTCACCTCCTCCCTTTGTATTTCATTTTCTCCTCTAGTTACTTCTCTCCTTCCTCTTCTTTCTTCTGATAAATTGTCAGTACTGTGGAGTTTAACAAATGTTTTAACAAGTACTTCTACTTTTTCCTCATTAGTTACAGCTAACTCATCTCCTACTTTTAACACCGGATAACTCCATTCTTTCCTTATTCCTTTCATTTTTCTCATCGTTCCCCAAACATCACTTATCGGCGTAGTTCTCCCTATTTTTCCACAAAAATTTCTCCAACTTTCTCTTTTTGCTTTTTTAACAACTCTTCTCACCTCTGCTTGCAACCTTTTATATTCCAGTAAATTTTCCATATTATGTGCTTTCCGTAGTATTTTTAGGCTTTTATTTCTTGCTTTAAGTACTTTCTCGCAGACTTCAGACCACCATGGTACATCCTTCCTCTCCCTTGTGTTTCCTTTAGTTTTTGGTATCGCTAACTCTGCAGCCTCAGTTATCACACCTCTAAATACTTCGTCCATTTCCTCTACTTTATCTGATATCACTACTTTTGACCTCCATTTTTCACAATTATTTCTAAACTTATCCCATTTAGCCCTTTTAAAAATCCACCTCCCTTCCCTTCTTTCCACCATCATCCCTCTTGTCTCGAAAAGTTTGTTCCATTATGTCCCCATTGAAATCAGTTTTCCTAGCCCCCCCCCCTCCCCCCCCCACAGTACTATGTGCATTAAAATCACTGCACACAATTAAGTGTCTGCTATTAATCCCAACTCGTGATCTTATTCCCTCAACTTCCAATCTTTTGCATGGATCATAATAATTGATTATAATAACTTTCCCCTGATTAGTAAACACCTCCACTATTACAAATTCTTCTTCTTTTCCTTTCTCTACAGTTCTAAAATGAACATTATTTTTAATAAATGTCACACACCCACCCTGATCTATCACACCTAACTTCTACATACTGATGAATCTTAAAGTCAACCCCTACTTTTAGCCATGGTTCTTGAATACATATAATACCAGGCTTAAATTCTGATTTATCAATATAACTTCTAAATTTCTGTCCATTAGCTATTAAACTCCGTGCATTCCATTGTAAAACCCTCAACATTTATCACCCCGCATTTCCCAAGTCCTGACTGGCTTGCGTACTTAGAGTACTTTGTACCTCCTCCCATGTTAGATCGCTGATATCTAGGTGGTTCACTGCTGCTTTTACGATGATTTGAATTCTTTCAGTTTTTGATTTGGCCTCCATTGTCACATTTATCACTCCAGCTATGAAGGTAACAAGTTTCTTTAGATCCACCAATACTTTCCCGTCCTCTTCTCCAACCCTCCTAGTGTCAGAGTCTTCCCTTAGTCCTTCATTACGATCCTCGGTTCTTCGAGTTACCATTTTCACTGCTTCAGCATATGATGTCTTGTTTTTTTAGCGTCACTTTTGCAGGTAGATTTTCTCCCTCAAACTCCAACAGGATGCTCGCTGTCTCTCTCCTTACTCCATCTTTGACCACTGTGAGTCGTTTTGCCTCTTTTATCTCAGCACCTTTTATATTAGCTTTGATTTCTTCTGCTGACATTTCCAGCGGTATCTCCCAAATCAGCCCTTTTGCTCCTCTGTCTCCCAGTCCCACCTTACTAGCACTAATTACCTGACATTTTCCCACTTCCTTCATTTTGCAGGCTTTCTCACTCTGCTCTTTACTTTTACACAGTATTAGCAAGTTACCATCTCTCAATACTTTAGCAAGTTTTATGTCTCCTACTTGATTTTTCAATATTGTTGTCAACTTCACCGGATTCAAAGCCTGAACCCCATTTCCCTCTCGAAATCTCAAACTAACTTTAAATTCTTTCCTTTCTTCTGTACCTCTTTCCTCATCGCTATGCACCACTCTTCTTTGCTTTCTACTTTCACTTCCTTCAACATGACATGCTCTCTTTTTCTTTACCTGTTCCTGTCCATGACTCATTTCCACATCACTTCCACTTTCTACAGAATCGCCCCGCTCCTTCTCATTCACAGCACAGCTGTGCCTACCCGCCATTGACGCTCTTCCCCCGCCCCCCCCCCCCCCCCCGATAGAAACAGTGTTGCCAACAGTTTCTGACTGAAAGTAGCTGAAGTTCCCCCGAAAGTCGCTAGATGTCGCCAGATGACGTCACATGCTCATTTAGATATTGATGACGTCATCACGCCACATTGGCGTTCATTTTCCCCATAGCATCTAAAAGATATATATATTTAGGACTAAAAGGGAGGAAAATAAAAACTATGTTATGTGTTAATGTTATTAATTATTATGATTAAAATGGCCCAAATTGCTTTGATATGTACAATAAATTCCAAAAGCATCAAGCCTGCAGCAGCAGCAGATGTCGGCGGTCTCCAGCTCTGCAGCTGTACCTTTGTCTTCGCCCGGCCGAAAACGGTTTATGATTGGTCAGTCGTCGTGCACATGTGCAGATTATCGTTCTCTTTCCTAACTCCCGGAAGAACGGTTCAGAGTACAAACGGTTTCTTTGTTGCTAATCTGTGGGGAATATCTACAAGAAAGTTCTACAGAAAGTAGCAACGGGTCCTGAGAAATGTCGCTAGGTTTGTCGCTAGGCGCTTTTTGGAAAAAAAGTCATTGAGGGGGGTCAAAAAGTCGTTAGGAACAGCGACAAAGTCGCTGAGTTGGCAACCCTGGGCAGGACTGTCCAGCAGATCCAATATGTCGGCTCCGTATGGGACCAAGTTTACCAAGAGGCCGAGAAATTACTTGAACACCTTTGTAGTTTATGTTGCATTAAACTACATATTAGTGGTTTAAAACAGCACATGACTATGGCTGATCCTCTTGTGTTTTTTTATTGTGATATAATATCATATTTCAATCACTTGAGCATGCGCCAAACAGGGTGAGGAAGTTGAACAAAACACAGATGATGTGTACAAAAATGTCCTCAGCCCACCTGCTGATGAGCTCAGGTGAATTCGGTCCTGGCCGATCATGGTCCTGACTCAGCAGTCCACTCTGCAGTTACTACAAAATGATAAACTTGGTTTATAACCTTTAAAGGCCCATGTGTGAAATCCATTGAAATCAAGATGAAAAAATGTGACTCTAACGCCAAGCAGTTCAGAGAAAGTATTGCAGCTACGGTGGCTCACTCGTGAGTTTGACTCATCGACATATATACTGGACAATTTGTTTCCATAGGCTCCAATTATAAGTTTTTAAGCTAAATGGGAGGCGGCCACCACCGCCATTTTGACCGTGTCACAGGTTCCATCACGCCCAGACAATTCCACAAAAGGGAAGAGAGGTGGAGCTGAGGGTGGGGCTGTAACGCTGGGATCAAATGACGACACCCGTTGAACTGAAGCAATGTAGCTACAAGCTAACGCGGAGGTGGGAGCTAAGCTAAAGGAGGAGCTACCTAGCTACAACTGAAGTTAACTGTGCACAACACCAGAGCTTCTGAGTCAGAGATACGCCGGGCTGACCGCTGCGTAAAACCGGGTGGAACACAGAGAGCTCCACAAGCCGGCAGCCCGCGCAGCAGAAGGCACCCCAGCGATCAGAGATGCACCGAGCTGCGGGGAGGGGACCATACCGATAGTGGGACCCCAGCTCCACCACCAACATGTTATATTTGAACCCATTTTCTAAAGTGCAGCATTATGTTAAATGCACTGGGTTTTACCCTATTACATTTAAATTTAATGGTTAAACAGTACATGTTAAAATCTAAGCTCAGCTCGGCAGTGACCTAAAATACATAAATATAATTTTACTTACCGAAAAACATGAAGTGGAGACTCCTTGGACGCTCTATTAGTGCAATTAATGCCACAGCAAGTCATTTTGTCCAACAATTGCACAAATAATATCCAAAAAAGAACGCACAAACGCTACAACTAATGGTCCAAGTTGAGAGACTAAAAATGGCGGAACAGCTTCCAGGCGAAGCCGAGGCTCAGGCTGAGGCGCAAGTACGCTAGCTCTGCGGTCACGTGGGTCTGATGCTCATTAATTATTCCTTCTCATCCACTGCAGCGGCAATGACATGGGGGTGGTCAGCAGTGTGAAGCTGGTGAACATGATGGAGGACCTGCACCGCCTTCACCTTCTCCACCCTCATATGACCATCATCATGTCGTCCATCACCCAAAGGCGTAGACGGAGGGCAGGTGTAAAACCTGCTAAAATTGAGAATGCCCGGAGGTTCGTCATCAGTGTAATGGCTACTTTTATTTCTAGTTTAAATGGTGCCGTTGTGCATCCTCACATCAGACATGACAGTCCAGGGATAATTTTGTCAGACAGAGTTCATTTCACTAATAGGGGAAATGATATATTTTTTACTAATATTGCAGATTGTCTTAAAGGCCAGCTCCAAAAGCAGTGAAAGACTTCCAGGTGGGAGCCTCGCTGCTTTTGAATTTGGCCTTTAGGACAGATTTATTTTCAGGCAAACAGGATAAACATATCCCTGACTGTTATAGCTAATGTGTTGATGATGTAATTTATCTGTAGCCATAACACTGTTGACAACTCTGTTCTTCCTTCAAACCCCAATGTTGCACTCACTCTGCAGCTCTCTGGGCCCATTTCATACATTGTTTTTAAATGTGCCGACACTTTGTGTCCTGCTATTTTATAAAATGTGACGTAAAAAAATAAATGTTTTTGCTCAATTACTGGAATTTCTTTGGTTAAGACAAAAAAGGAAGAATCATTAATGCCAAGTTGTTTCTACAACAGGCCTGTTTTAAGTCCAACAGCTTCTTAGCAGCCAATAGAAATGTGTTCTTTACTAACTTTACTTGGTTTAAAAATCTTACTAAATAAACCTTAGAGGCTGCCGTATTGCAAAACCCAATCATGCTTGTTATGTAAATATTAGCTTTGGAGATATTTTTTTACAGATAGACATTTGTGTGCTAAAAAAACCATAAACTTAAATAATTTGTAATTCTTTATTGAAAAACAATAAAATACAGGTATACAGAAAGTGTGGGAAGATGATAATGTGAAAGTATTACTCTTTAAATGTAATACTATTCATCTTTAAAAAGAAAAACTCTAAAAATGTCCTGTACAGCAACATGACAGAAGAAAGGTGGTCTGTCTGTCAGAATGTGCTGAACAGATTTGCTCCATCAAGAGGAGCCTTGATGTGTACGAGGTTCCCCTTGAGTGATGTTGCTTTGGGTTATGTATCGCCACATCAGCACGTAAATGCTGAACCAATCTGGAATAAAGACTGCTGATAGAGGATAAACAAGTAAATAAGAGAAAAATTAATACAACTAGGAAACCAACATAAACACAGCAACCAGCAGCTGCACCTGTGAAGAAACATTTCTAAGAGTCATCAAGAACAACTATAAACATGTAAACCATGAACCACAAACATCAACAAGCATGTGTTTGTGTGTGTGCTGGGTTGTGAAGTGTGAGACCTCCAAGGATCAGGTGCACTCTGGAACCGCCCCAAGCACCAGGAAACCAGCAGCCAGCACAGAGCACAGAACCAACTCAGACCACCTCCCAGACAGCCGAGCTCCTTGCTACAGAGAACTCAGCAAGGCCACATCCAGAACCGGGCTGACACAGGTCATGGGCCACAGGACACAGGAATCACACAGCATTTCCACCTGAAACAGAATCATTAAAATTAGAATCAAATACAACAGTTGTTCAGTATGACATCAAAAGGAT